CCCTCCCTCCCTCCCTCCCTCCCTCCCTCCCTCCCTCCCTCCCTCCCATCTTCTTTCCTTCTCTCTGTGATTCCCTCTGCATGCATGAGTAGAGGCCAGAGGTTGGATCTCTTCCTTGATTCTTCCCACATTAGTTTCTGAGTCACGTTTTGTCACTGAATATGGAGTTCACTAATTGGATATAGTGCCTGGCCAATGGCGTCTCTGGGATTCTGATACAGGTGCTTCCCCAGGACTGGAACTGCAGGTGTTGGCCACCATGTTGTGCTTTTTATGTGGCTACTGGGGATCCAAGCTCAGGGCCTCATACTTGTGTAAGCATTTGCCCACCATTTTCTTAATATTCAAATTTTCACATAAAATTGCATTACAGTTGAAATCCTTCCTTGATGTGTGCCCCTAGTTTATAGAATGATTATAGGATGTATCCCATGGGGAGAGGCAGCTTTGGGGTATACCCCACAGTTCCCCCTCTCTTCTAACCGTCAGTCACCCTCTACCCCTCTGACCTGTAAGGACTGCAAGCCTGAGAAGGTCTTGTCATTGACTCTGTGAATGCCATTACTGTGCAGCATGAGTAACTCCAGTTTGCTCAGGCCATGGAAGTCATTTTCTGTCAATCTAGTGAGGCTGTTATATCTGAAAAAAAATCATTTTAGGCTTCAGATGAATCTGTCGATTCAAGTTCAAATGTCAAAGCAGAAACAAACAGAAATTTCCTTTTTTGTAACTGTGTTCCCATGAGATTTTTTTCAAATACTTGAAATGTTTAACTTGAAATATTGAAATGGGAAGTCCGCTTCCCACCTAAGTCCTTGCAGCTTCATAATCACCCTCTGTCTTCTCACATTTTTATCCATGTCCTAGCATCCACTTACGCCTACTATTTTCTCTTCGAGATCACTAAGACCATTCTCTATGGCACCATCGCCTCCCTCTTGCAGGAGGAAGTAATTAGTGGTTAAGAAGCCTGGGCACTGGAGTGCACATGGGTGTGATTCTGAGCACAGGCCCAGATCACACTCTGGGTATAATCTGGAAACTTTCTGTGCTCCATTTTCCTCAGCTATAAAGTATAGATAACAGAATTTAGTCCAATGGTGTTAAGAACACCAGCGTCTTAGTGAGGGTTATGATTGCTGTGATGAGATGCCATGACCAACAGCAAGTTGGGGATAAAAGGATTTATTTGACTTATACTTCCACATCATTGTTCATGACTGTATGGAGCTAGGACAGGAACTCAAACAGGACAGGACCTGGAGGCAGGAGCTGATGCAGAGGCCATGGAGTGTGTTACTCACTGGCTTGCTCCTTATGACTTGCTCAGCCTGATTTTTTTTTTTTTATAGAGCCCAGGATCACCAGCCAAGAAATGGTACCACCCACAACAGATCAGGTCCTGCCCCATAAATCACTAAGAAAATGCTCCACAGGCTTGCCTATAATCTGATCTTATTCAGGCATTTTCTCAACTGAAGCTCCTTCCTCTCCAGTGACTCTAGCTTTGGGTCAAGTTAACATAAAACTTGCCAACACAGTGAGCAAATGAATACATGCAAAATGCTCAGCCTAAGGCTCCTCCCTCGTAGGGAGACACAGTGCCAGTCTTTACGGTTGCGGTTGGCAATCGTTTCTCAGGCACTGGGTATGCTGTTACAATCCTTGTTCCATTGCCCCCCCCACTACCCCCTCCCAACGTGAATAATAGTGCTTGGTATTAGGACTGTAGGTGCTCACTAATGTCACATAGGTGATAGTATATCCCATTACTTATGCATTTATACATATAAACAATTCTTCATAAACCTTCAAAACATTGCTTGGTATCATAACAATGATTGCTGACAGAAACTGTATCTTTTCCAGTAAATATTTACTCAGAATGAAGCCGCCCCACAATTATGAGGCTCCCAAACAACTAAGAGGGACTTCAAGTTCTAGTAAAAGACTACTGGGAAAAAAAATGTTTATGGTCTCCACAACGTAAGGTTCTTATGAACCCATTTTAGAAGAAAACTATTAAAAGTAATCACAGGTGTTTTGGGGGACAAAGTACCAGGAAGATCAGTGGTCCCTCTCTGAGAAGGGGATCAGGCAAGGTCCACACACCCTAAATTTATTCGTTCCACATTGGCTGGGATGCCGTCTGGGATGGAGGTCAGGTACCGAAATGTACAGTGCACCTCTGTGGGCACATAGCAGGCACAGCGACGAGGACAGGCCTTGCTCCCAGGGGTGACCACCAGGCAGAGGACAGCGAGGGAGATCAACAAGCAGCTGACTTCCCTGCCTCTCATCTGCATCCTGAAAAGACACCACACCAGAGTTATATGGACAGTTCAAGCAAAGACCTAGGCACATCATACATAGCAACTCTGGGAATAATTGGGGATATTTTCTTTAAGAATCATAATTGGTTAATTTAATTCACACCTTTTTGTGGCAAAATGGACCTTCTTAAAATATTTAGATAGGCTCCATACACTTTTTCTCCTCCCACAACTTCTTCCAGATCCTCCCCAGCTCCCCCCCCCATCCACTCAACTTCATGTTCTTTCTCTCTGTCAAAACTAACAAATGAAAACCAAAACAACAACAACAAAAAACAGTAAGAAAAAATGCAAAATAGCACAAAAAAATCCATATTGTGCAGGAGGCCTGCCCTGCAATGTGGTTGTCATGTACAGTGTCACTCCACTGCAGGAAACTGGCATTCCCTCTCCCAGCAGACAGCAATTGCAAAGGGCCTCTTGTTAAGTGGTTAGTGGAACTTTATGTCTACGTCCCCTTCTCTGTGCTGGGACTCCCCACTGGTTTGAACTTGTGCCTCCTGTCACAGTCTGTGGTTGAGTTAGCATGCAAATCAGTGTGTTACATCATGGCACCTATGTTATTACGCTTTGTTCTTATTAACGCCTCTCCTTCTTATGCTTTCTCTCATACCCCCCCCCATAGTTTGTTTCTGCTTTCTTATCACATGCATTCCTATATACACATGTACAGATTAGAATAGTATATATTTAAATAAAATTCTAAACATATATGTACACATACAATTGTAAATCTAGAGTCTGTTTGTAAGAGAAGCCACATAGTGTTTCCTTTTTGAGTATCTTATTTTGATAAGCCCAATTTATTTCCAGTTGCATCCATTTCCTGCAAATGTCATGATTTCACTTCTTTATGACCACATGATTCTGTTGTACACACTTCCACATTTTCTTTATCCGTTCATATTTTGACGGCTATGTAAAGTTGGTTCCACATTCTTGTCTGTCATGAATAATGTAGCAATAAATGCTGCACAAACTTCTTTTGTTACATACCCTGGACTGGTAGTTCTAGTTTCAAGATTTTTTTTTTTTGAAATTCCATAAGAACTGCAAAAAGTTCACACATACCCCCAATTATCCAATAAATGAATGGACTAGTGAACTGGAAGAAAGACATGAAAGATTGTCCAGGGCATTCAAATTGACATTTCTTTGAGATTCTATCTCATTCCACTCTGAGTACACATCATCAAAAAGATAAGTGACAACAAATGCTAGTGAAATTCGGGGAAAGAGGAACCCTTATCCCCTGAGGTGTAAACTGGCATAGATACCATGGAAAATGTACTCTTTATAGCCCAGTGTGTGCTAGCCTCCCAATGGACTTTATCACTAAATGGGCTTATTATTGTGAGCATGTCTTTATAGCTTCTCATTTCCTAATGAAAAGCAGGATTACTACTATTAGAGACCATAATAATGATATTGGGACAACTAAGTCTCTTGTTTCCACGAGAGCCTTTTAGACATTTTATATATTTTTATGTTTTTAAAAACATAAAAATAGCATATGTAATTTGTAATAGCAATTTAGGAAACTCTGGAACAGTAAATAGATAAAAGTTAAATAGATATACATATATGTGTATATATTATTCACGTATGCATTTGTGTATGTACTTTATATGATCAATTTTTGTAGCATTGTAATATTTAATATATGTTTTATTTATTTGAGTTAACCTTCCAAAACACTTTTTACAGCTATAATAGCCCACTAAAAAAGAGGTTAAATTTCTTTCAAGTCCTTGCCAAAAAGGACACATTGGCCTTTTCAGAGCCAACTAACGACCAAGAGGACAGTAAACTGACCAGCTGGAAGGGCCGAGTCTCAGCCCAGCAGGCCAGCAGGATAGCAGCCACTCTGACTTTGCAGGCATAACACTTTCTGCTCTTTCTCTGCTTGGAAACACCCCTCTCCTCACTGACACAGGGATGGGGAGCAGGGCCAAGGAAGTATTATGCTTAGCTTGCTAGAAAATTTCTTTAACCCACACGTGGCGACAGCTCAGTGATCCTTCAACCTGGAATTATTATGAATGCGTTTAACCCAAATCAAGACTTATTAATGACTTCTATGCCTATGCTGTCACTCTTAGCTCACAAAATATCTTAGAATACTGTCTGCATGATGGAAAAAAAAGCAGGTGAGCTTGCTTGCTGTCATTAGATAAACAAAGACTGGGAAACAGAAGCGACTGTTTGCACCCTAAGAGTCAATAGAGAACAGAGCCGTAAATAAATATCAAATGAATTCCCGTACACTTAAGCCTGAAACTATTTAACAAAAGAGTTGGCAATACCTGGGCTCTTCTGTCTTGGTTTTGAATCCTCTTGTAACATAGGCAGAGACAGGAAATCTTCCGAGGAGAGTCTTCACCCGAGTGAAGGAAAGTTCTTTGCTTCCAAAGGGAGCAAAAGGCTTAGTCTTTTCTAGCTTACAGCTGGGGGACTGATGCTTCAGAGACCTGGAGACCCTTCTGTTTTTTTAATGCTATCATCCATTTCTAAACTGCTGCTGCTGCTGGAGAATCTGTAATACTCTTCCTCCTCCCTCAATCGAATAGGTTAGTTAGTTAGTTCTCCTTAAAGTCACCTAAACTTACAAGTACTAATCAATCACTCCTTTCCGAAGTCCCAGGGTTTCTCCTCAAATTGCTTGGTTTGCATAAATGCGTCATCAGTGTCTATGAAAGGGTCCCAGGCTACATATAATCCTTCCCGCGCGTTTTGCCTGGCCTCAGTCACTGAAGTGATCCCTTGATCGCAGCTTTTGTCCCCATTCCCCTCCAGCACTTTCCTTTCCCTGGATCCTTCTGCCCATCCCACCCTCTGTCTCGTCCTGAACCCCAGCTCCCTCATCTAACCAGACTCTCTGGGTCCCTTCACTAACGTGCAGGACTAGCAGCAGCTCACCTCTGCCTTGGGCCAATGGAATTGCACCGCCTTTGGGGTCTGCTCAGCCTCCAGGGGTCTTCTCTCCGGAGGAGGGCGGAGCAAGTGACGTAGCTATAGCCTCTGCTTCTGGGAATGGGCGGGCCATAGACCCGGGACCACCAGCGCCAACCCAGGCTCGCCTGCGCGTTTGCTCCGCCCGGGTTGGGAAGCCCTGGGCTTTTCCTGCCTGGTGGCTGGATCTGTGTCCCGGACTGGTTCCGGGGCTACAAGTTCTTTCCTTTCATGACCTCTTCCACCTCCTAACAGAGAAAGGGAGGACCTAGACATAAAAGTAGGGAAGATACTATTAGGGGGAGAAAAAACTTTGAGCTTGGGTGGGTGAGTGAGCGGATGGCCAGGAGAAGATAAAGGTGTGGGGGGCGGGGCAGAGGGGGCTGGTAGTGCTAGGAAATATGCTGACAACATGCGATATACTTGAATAAAAATGTCATGAATCCCAACAGTCTACACAATGAATATATGCTAATGATGATGATAACAACAGCAATAACATTCAAAGACGCTTTAATCACTGTGGTTTGTCCTGGGCTTGTGGCTCCCCTTACTTCAGCTTGCAAGTTGAGACAGCATTGAAGGGAGGTGTCTAAGGTTTGTATGTACTCTTCAGCCCTAGGGGAGGCACCTATCCTCTTCCATTTTACTGGTTACATATCTTTGAAGTGTACAGTATGAAGTTATGAGCTACGTGAAGATGAAACAAATAAACGTATCTATCATTTTATTTGTTCTTTCTGCGTAAATGTGTTAGTAAGATACACTCTTTTCCTGTGTATTTTAAACAGAATTATTCAATTCGGTCCTCATAGTATACATTAAATCTCTGGATGGCTTCACTCTGTAGTTGTTGCTCTGGGTCCTCTAATCTACAAGTACCCTTCCACCCCCGATTGCATAGCCCACCTTTGTCTATAGTCTGTACATTTGACTACTTAGAAAAAAAAACACCCCATAATGAGAACATACAATAATTTTTCAGCATATGGCTTAGTTCATTTGCCATGATATTTTTTACATTTTTCCCACATTATGGTGAGGGTCATGGCATCCTTTTGTAAGGTTGGATGTTATCCTGATACACACAACAGATATATACATGGGGTGAGGAGGGAGAGAGAAAGAGAGAGAGAGAGAGAGAGAGAGAGAGAGAGAGAGAGAGAGAGAGAGAGAGAGAGAGAGAGCATTTTTTTAGAAATGATGGGTCTTGCTACATTGCTGAAGTTAGTGATGAGTTCACGGGCTAGTTGGATCCTCCTTCTCTGTCTCCTCAGGCCCCACTGCCAGGGTGAGAAACCTATCTTCTGAAATATAGTATCAGATAACTAGATACATATTTTGCTGTAGATTTCCTTCTTCTTTCCCCATCCCTCCCCACACCATCCAGGGTCAATGCTGCCTTCAGAGCTGTCCCTGCCAATTTGGAGGCATTTGATAGCTCCTGTTCCTCTAGTAGGCGTCCACTATTTGAGGAATGTGACTAACATGACGGTTTCATCCCTGAAGTTGCAGCTCAAGTGAGCCTTTGATGAGAATTTTGGATGAATGTTTTGAGGCAGATGTTCTGAAGATGTAGTCCTGGAACAAGTCACAAGTTCTGAAGCTCCACCTCTCAGGCCCACCATATGGAACATTTTAGGGCAGGGGCCTAGGGATCTTTGTGTTAACAAAGTTTCTAAAGATTTTTAATTGGTGGATTATGAAAATAATTTATTACTGTGGATGATATTTATGGAAGATTCACTTTGTGACAAATAACATAAGCTTTCCAAAAAGTCAGTTTATTTCTGCTTTATAATAGCATCCATGAGCATACAAGGAACACCTTCATACTGCTCTTGCTTTATATAAGTGTGAAGAAAAATGACTCATCTCAGGTAATGCATCTTGTAAGTAGAAATGCTACAGTTGATTCAAACCCAAGCAATTGGGCTCCACAGAATGAATGAGCTGCCAAAGCTGAGGCTGCCTTGCTTGGGTAAAGATTAGTAGTGTTCCACATCCAGTTGCTAATCACCAAGTGATTTTTAGTTAGTAATGAGTAAGTCAATTATCAAGGTCGAATTAAAGAGTCAGGAAGTCAGAGTTAGAATCAACCCTGGAGCCCTGTGTGGTATGAACAAGGTTCTTAGCACTGCAGAGACAACCATATTCTTAAGAGTTCATATATGATATCCAAATGTGGACACTTGCCTTGGAAATAATGGCATCTAGTATGTTCTTGGCAGCCACAGTTTGTCATTCTTCCAAACCTCCTTCTAGACTAACGTCATAGTTCTGTGTTCGCTAGGTTATTTCTAACCAGGGTCGGGCTTCCAGACCTCAACTCCAGCAAACCACAGAGAGATGATTGCAGTTTGTTAGAGTACTTATTTTCCCAGGATCACTACTCAGGGTCATTTTATTTCTAGATTCAAATATTCCTTTCCCACCTCTTATATAACATATAAGAACTATTAGAAAGCCAAAGCATATTTTATATCTATTCTAGTTCAGTTTCTCCTATTTAATTATGTCAATAAATCACACTTACATTTAGATCCTATATATATCAAAGGCTTTTTAGAAGAGTTAATTAGACATATTCTGATGAAGTAGGCATTAAAATTATGCCTATTTTGGGGTTAAATTGCTTAGGATGCCAGAATACATGCTGCATTACTTTAAAAACTGAAAGACCATGCTCTTCCATAAAATTAAGAGTCCATAGCATGTCAAAGGTTAATAGCATCACCATACTCTTTGGTCACATACTTAACAATACAATTTGTGTTTTAAGAGTATTAACAAGTCAGTCTCACGTCTCAATGCAGCTTAATGGTCACACTGGTATGTGAAGTGCAAGGACAGTGACTGCTTTCTGTAGGAAGGTGGTGAAGTTGAGTGTCTGATTTGCCAAAGTCTCAGGACTGCACATGGGGAGCTGGAGTTAATATGAACTCTCAAGCCTCAGTTTCTTGGACTGTGGTCTTTTACCAATATGTCAGTATACTTTATTACCTTGACTACTTCTTCCTATGGTTCACTTTTTAATACTTTTCTTCCAATAATCCACCACTAAAAGGAGATGCTTAAGTCATGACTAAAACAGCACTGGCAAATTCCCAGCTCAATATTATACATACAAAAACTATGTGTCTTCTTCCGCTTTTAAATCACTCCGTACAATTTGTTTTGCTTGTCATCTGTTTGACACTGACCTTATTTACAATCCTTTACGGTATTTGATGTACCAATTATACCACCTTATAGTTTAATCCCTAGATAAAAGTATTTTATCCCAAGCCTCAGCAGTTAAAAAATACCAGAAACAAAACCTCATGACAATCATAACAAAGTATGGATCTAAGAAGACACGCATTCATAAACACGGATAAACAGATGCCCAGATTCTTGCATGTCTTCTAATTAGGGACAATCATTACTAAGTCTAAGTTGCAATTTTCATATTAATTGGAATGAATAATCAATATACACGTGAAAAAGGAGACATAAAGAATAACTAATGTGAGTCCTGTTCTGATACAATTGACTCATAACCAACACAACTGTCAAACCAGAGGCCTTCAGTCACCTATATGTCAATATAATCATAGCATTATGGGTGTTCTAGTTAGGTTTTTCTGTTGTAATTAAATGCTAAATAAACTTGGGAGAGAAAGAATTTATTTCATCTTACACTTTGATGTCACAGTTTATCACCAAGAGAAGCCAGGGCAGGCACTCAATGCAGGAGCCTGGAGGCAGAGACTGAAGTAAAGCCCATGGAGGGACGCTGCTTACCGGCTTGCGTACATGACTTACTCAGCTTGTCTTTTTGAGCAATTGTCCAGAAGGTGTGGCACTGCCCTCAGTGAGCTTGGCCCTCCACATCAATTAGTAATGAAGAAAATGGGCCGCAGACACGCCCACAGGCAAATCCGAGAGAGACAATTTCTCAGTTAAGGTTCTATCTTCCTAGATGACTCCAGCTTGTGTGAAACAGTCACAACTACTAACAAAAGTGGTATGAGTGGAAAGGGCAGAGATGATGTAACCCTTATGAGTTTATCAGTATAAGAAATAGGAAAGATGACCTAGTAGGAAATTCTGGTAAGCTACCCTCAAGATAAAGAATAAATATATAAGGTAGAAAAAGGTATTTTTCCTTTTTATAATTTTTCTTCAGATACTTTTTTAGTCAGCACACAAAGTAATGGGCTTTATTCTGACTTTTTAAATATGTACTTTTAAAATACATATAGATACTACTATTACTGCTACAACTTTCCTCTTTCTTGCTGGGGTCCCTTCCTCTCTTCAATAATCCCTCATAAAGAGACATTTAAGAGTTAGACTTGTTAAAACATAGACTGCTTGGTCACATTTGGTAGCTGGAGCAGAGAGGTGGGAGAACCATATGTAGATACAGACTTGGGTAGAAGACTAAGGCAGAAATAACACCATACTGACCCAGGAGTAGTAAGGGTCCAGAGTTTAGAAATAGATGTCAATTCAACAGCCTTGTTGATCTGAACACTGCAGTTTGGCTATTATGCTTGAGTTGTCTTGCACATGGCTTGTCTTGCAGGTATCAATGGCCCTCAGTAGTAGAAGTTTGCTGAATTCACCATGACTCATAAGCATGTTATAATAATTAATCTTGGTTGTCAGATTGACTAAATCTGGAGTTAGCTAAGAGACAAGTCACTTGTGAGAAATTCCAAAGACTATCAAAGGTGCCTCTCCAGCTCTATAAAAATAATAAACAACTGTTAAAGGAGGATATTACAATCATCCAGGGGATATTACAGTCATCCAAGACTCAGAGAAATATCTCACACCTCTCAAGCTGCCTTCAAATTGCTCAGAGCCCTCCAGAGATGCAGCTTTCATGAATTATCACCCATATTGGAGTGGCCTTTTTGGTGATGCAATGTGTGTGTGTGTGTGTGTGTGTGTGTGTGTGTGTGTGTGTGTGTGTGAGAGAGAGAGAGACAGAGAGAGAGAGACAGAGAGACAGAGAGACAGAGAGAGT